TCGAATTAGCTAAATTTATTTTTTATTTTTTAAATAATCTGAAGTAGTTCGAGTTAGTTCGGATGAAGAACCAAATAGTTAGTGATTGTAAAAAATTTGAATATATTTTTAATAGTTAAAAAAAAAAAATAAATATGGTATATAATTTGCAATCTTTACATTTTATTAAGATGAGAGTAATTGAGTTCAAGAATATGAGATAGATAAGCTTATAATATTAAAATACTAATATATTTTTTTTAGTTATTTATAGGAGGTAAAGAAGTATTTTTTAAATTAATTATTATTCGATTTATTGATTTGAACATCAAAAAAGTATTGGTTTATCTTATTTATTTGGTTGATATTTTTTGAGAATTGTTAATATTTTTTATTTGTTTTTTTTTTCTTTATTTTTTAGAATTTATAATTCATAAGTTTTATTCGATTATTACAAAAATTATGAGGATACATTTTTTCGTAAAGTGTAATAGTACTATTAATATTTTATAGTAAGTAAATTGATATTGGAATTTGATTAGTCTTTTATTAATATTTCTAGATAAACTATGTTCGAGGTAGTGATATTAAAATTATTTGGAGAAAGAAGAATTTTTATAGAGCGAGGACAGGTGCAACGGGATAAAGCTACGTAAAGTTGACTATGGGAGAAAACAGGAGTTCTGAGATCTAAGCCAACGTGTTTTACGGATTGACCTTGCGATTTATTTATAGTAAGTGCGAAAGCTAATTAGATAGGAAATTGACGCTGTTTGAGTGTAAAAGGGAGTTTAGAAGTTGAAGAAGTAAGGGAGATGCGAGGAATGAAGGCTAGGTCATTTGAGTGATCTCCAGTTAAAATTCGGGCTTCAATTACATGATCATTAAATTTTGTTACGATTAATCGAGAACCATTACAAAGGCCTTGGTGAGGTGCTAAGTTTCGTAAAAGTATGATAGAACATCCAATTTTAAGTCTGAGCATTGAAGGTGGCATGCCAGTAGGTGTGAGTGAATTCAGTATTTGCTAGAGTAAAGATTATTGATATTATTGTTAGTTTCTTCAGATATTATGTCATCTGAACTTAAGTATATACGTTCTTCTCCAGGGAAAATATTAAGAATAGCAAGATTGATATTATTGACATCAATATTACGGGAAGAAAGTATCAATCGATCTTTAAGGTATTGATCAGTGCATACATTTTGTAGATTAATATTATCATAACTAGATTGAATAAAAGAATTTAAATTAGGGGTAATATTTATGATTTCAGGAATGCTAACAGTATTATCTAATTTAGATGTATTCGTGCCATCGCCAATTTGAATAGAAAACATGTAGAAGGAATCAGTTTAGTATAGAGTTAAGTAGGTGAGAGGTTAGAGTTATACGCTTACCTTTAAAAGCCACTGTGCAAATTGTTGATTTTCAATAGATTCAGATTCAAGACGCATATTTTTTTTCAATGTATATATTTTTACATATTGCCATAGTTGTGATTTCTGAAAGGTTGCAGATCTGATTTGTTCTCGAGAGCTTTTAGTTATAACAGGTAATATTTGACAGAAATCACTACCAAATATTACTGTTATTCCTCCGAATGGATGTGGATCATCACGTATATCTTGTAAGGATCGATCAACAGCTTCAGCACAATTATGATGTTGTATTGGAATTTCATCCCAAATAATAAGAGATGTTTGTCATAGCAAATCAGCAAGGTTAGAATTTTTGTCGATAGAACATGAAGAATCATCATCAATATCAAAAAGAATTTTAAATGTTGAATGAGCTGTTCGACCACCACTAAGTAAAAGGGCAGGATTCCAGAGGAAGCTACACATATCACTATTTTGTGTTCACTTTGAACTTTTATCGCAAGGGTATTATATAGAAATGTTTTTCCAGTTCCAGCGGGGCCATTTAGAAGAAATAATTTGCCTTCTTGTTTAGATATAGAATCAAGAACATCTTGATATGCTTTTTTTTGTTCATTATTTAATTGAAGAGCACGATCTGTAGATATTCTTTGAAGTTCATCATAGTTCCAATTTAAATTTTCATAAATAAGATGGTTTTCTTGATAGTTATCCCAATTATGTTTCCATTGGAGCATGGTAGAAAACATACTAAGAGAACAATTGGAATCGTGTAAAATTTTATCTAGAAGAAACAATCCAAAATCAAATATATGAAATTCGGTTAAATTTTGAATATTATAATCATTACTTAAACGGTAATGAAGGTCGTCACAAAGATTATTACAAAAGTTTAACCATAAGTTGTGAGGATGGTTGGAGAAGAATGTATAAGTATAACAGCAAAAAGTAATCTTAGTTGAGCACCACTTCGCATAATCGCAGCTTCTTCCAAACGTTGTTTCCATTCATTATCATCTTCTAATAAACCTAGCGCGATACATGCATCTTTGAATGTTGGGTAAGTAATATTATTAACTGTTTTTAAATGATCGAATGATTGTGGGCCACGAATTTTAGTTAATAGAAGTCTTAAATAGAATCGCTCTCCTGCAGTATGGTCAGCAAAGTATAATCTACCAATTGCAAATCCTTGTTTATATAATTTCTATATTTTGTCTTGTCTGTTCCAAGTAAAGTGTTGTGGAAATTCTTGATAGGTATATTGATGGGCAATTTCAAGAGTTTTATATGTTTCAAAAAATGAGATCAGTGTAGTTTTTTGTCGTTCAGCACGTGCAAGGATCTGGGCAGCATCATCATTTGGATCAAAACAACTTTATGCATTCCTGGAAGATGTAATGCCAGTCGCACGACATTAGGAACCTCTTCATGCATGTTAAAGCTTAAGAGATGCCAAATAGCTTCTGGTGCGCTTATATATCTTGCATTGATATAATGTTTGATTTCATCATGATCTCGATGAAACTGAATTGTAGTTCAATTATGACCTTTGTAGATGTATTTATGAATATATTTTACAGCACGTACAGATGCACAAATTTCAATATTTATATGACAGTTATATTTACGGCTAAGAGTTGGATTATAAGGTACTATTTCTCGATTATCAACAGGTTTGTCATTGATATTAAATATTTGTCTGTTATTTCTTCTTTTATAAATAGGATAGCCATTTGTATCTATTGATATCATATCGCAGAATTGTTTTGGATAGTTTCTTTTGCATTTATTATTTTCCATGCATGGTGCTTTAGGGCCGCGAATGCCACAGGGGCCGTGGACCATACAGTATAACACGGTATTAAATAGTATTTCTTCATCAAGAAATTCAGCACTTACAATACGGTCTACATCAGCAGATTCTTTTATTTTATGATCTTTTTGAAGGAATATTAAAAAATGCATATGAGTGAGATCATGTTTTTGAAATTCAATTGTGTAAATGTGAGCATCAGTTTTTCCAAGAAAATCATTTTTCCTGATATCATTGAGAAGAGATTGTCATTTTAATTCAAATACGCGTGCTACCAAACCTAGTCGATCTGCTGGTGTTTGATTAGGGAATAATTCATTAGTAATTTCAGGCCATCTAGGGTTTGCAGTCATAGTTCCAAAAATATCAGGATGTTGATAATATCGAGTAATAGCCATTGAATCTTGAAAAATTTGAAACATATGACAGGAGCTACCAATATGTGTGGAAAGAAGAATTATTCGACATCCAAGGTTATTAAGTGTTAATTCTCCATTTGCTGCAGCATCCGCAAGTCCTTGATATAGGTCAGCACATAGTATGTCTTGGTTATTACATAGATACGTTAATCAATTTTGTTCTGTTGCTGCCCATGCGATTTTTCTTGACTGCCCAAATAGTTTACTATAGATAATAGTGGGTAGTACACAAAAAACGTTTATTCAAATATTCATATAGAATTATACATAAATTTGATTTACATAGTATATTAAACATCCCATTGTAGTGTTATGTTGTAATTACAAATACAGGAAAGGCTAAGAAACTTATTTTTGTGATTATGAATACAGGAAAGGCTAAGAATAATCGAAAAACTAAATATAGTTAGTATGTGAAGATAGTGAACAATCAAGTAAATACTAATGCACTTAAGTAATAACATTTATAAATTGGTATAACCATACATTGGTTAAATTAAGAATAAATGTTACCCGTATGTTGTTTAATACGTTAAATTTTTAATTATTATTGCTCAATCAGATGACTTTATTTAAACGACTAAAAATTTATTTAACAAAGCTGAAAAACATATGGGAAATAGGGGTTTGCTATCCTTGCCGGCTCTAATATACATTATCTTATTCTACTCTACGATAACCTATATTTCTGGCAAAACAGCAATCAAAGATCACCATTCAAGACCTGTAAGACCACAGACAAGATAGCGATCCAAACCATTTACATACTAAACCGATTTCAAGTAGGGAGACTTCTCTATAGCGAAGAAGAGAATCGGCATATATGTCAATGCTGCTATAAGCAAGATAACCTTCTTATTATGTCCTTGTACTGTCACTTGCAGTTGTGAAAACTCATGCATACTAGTTCTTGTACTACTACTGCAGCCGTGGAGGCCAACAAAACATCAGGTCCTTGCACTGCTAGCGCAGCCGTGGAGCCTGGCATCACAAATCATCAGGTCCTTGCACTGTTAACACAGCCGTAGAGCCTGGCATAACAAAAACATCAGGTCCTTGCACTGCTAATGCAGCCGTGGAGCCTGGCATCACAAATCATCAGGTCCTTGCACTGTCAACACAGCCGTGGAGCCTGGCATAACAAATCATCAGGTCCTTGCACTGCTAACGCAGCCGTGGAGCCTGGCATAACATCATTTTCACTTGCTCAACTTCGGGTTGGTAAGGGAGGGGATAGAGCCAGCCTCTACAAAGGCGAGCGATAGCGAAGAAAAAGGATACTTTCTTCCCAAAAGACAATCAGCCTTAAATACCTTGCTTGCCATTGTCCCTTACCCCTGTACCGATCTAACAATAAACACAACAATGAGTACTTTGAAAATCATATGCTAATCACAAATTACCTGCACAAGAGCAAGTTTCCACATATAACAACAATAATCAAAGAATAACCATAAAAAGATACATTTAAACCTGTAATATGTCCGATTATAAAGTCATCTGATTTCGCAATAATGATCGCCCTGTCACTTCGTTGACAGGCTTTTCAGTTATTAATTCAATTGGAGATACTTACGTACAGTGGCCCGATTCTATTGAGCGACAACAATTATCTGGATTTAGAGGTTGTGTTGGATTTCTTGATGGAGCAGATGTTGTATTGAATACAAATCACTAAAAAATGGTGAATTTATTATAAGCGAAGGTTCAATAAATCATAAGAAATAATTTAAGTGAAAGTTTAATAAGTTATATAAAAAATAATTTAAGGTTTAATAAGTAATTTGAGCGAAGGTTTAATAAGTAATTTGAGCAAAGGTTCAGCTAGTTATTTAAAAAAATAATTTAAGCGAATGTTCAATAAGTAATTTGAACAAGGGTTCAGCAAGTAATTTGAACAAGGTTAAGTAATTTGAGCGAAGGTTCAGTAATTTGAGGAAGTTTCAGTAGGTTATATAAAAAAATAATTTGAGCGAAAGTTTAATAAGTAATCTGAGCGAAAGTTTAATAAGTAATTTGAGCAAAGGTTTAGTAAGTAATTTGAGAGAAAGTTTTATTATTTACTCTGTATTGTTATTATTCAATAGTTCATTGATCTGTATAATAAAAGAATTTTTAATTATTTCGTCAAATGGGAGTCTCTAAACACTCTCATTTCATTTTCCGATTTCAAAATTTTTTTAATTTAGTATTCTTTCCATTCCATTTGTGCTAACGAGCAATGATTTTTACGAAGAGAACCTAAATTTACATATCTCAAAAACGAGAATATAATCATCAGAGACATCATCCTTCGATATTCCGTAGCATCTTAAAAACGAAGGAATCTTATAACAAATATCACAATAAACCAATATTAAAAGTAGTTACGGTTAAAATATAAATCTATAAAATATTTATTAAAATATTGAATTTCAAAAAAAAAATAAAAAATACATTGGTAAATAAAGTTTAAATTTTCAGTTTAAGTGATAGGATATAGCAGCGGTAATAAGACTGTAAAATCAACAAGTTTTTATATTTTAAGCTGATAAAATGAGGATTGTGTTGTAGAAATACTAAAATTAGCTTCCAGACAGTCAGCAGCATAATCAAGATAAGCATTACGATCATTAAAATCAGTAAGCCAAATTTGAATCCGATAATCACTAGGTGCAGTTACTAAACCACTATTTATATCTACATATAACATTTTGATAAAGTCTTCTTTTGGACAATCAGAATTATCAGGATTAGTGCAAAAATTTGTTTCTTTACGACCATAGTACATTGGTATTGAGTCTGCTATAACATATATGTTCATGAAAGTATCATTCTTAAATATGAAATTAGATGTTGAAAGCGAAATGTTAAATTCAGCAATGGTATTAGCAATTAAAGGGTTAGGAGAAAATATTATATTTGTAATTATATGCGCGTTTTTTGCAGCTTCGTTAAGTGATTGACATTTGTTGAATGAGTTAGATGTAATTGCATTCTTAAAAAGTTGTTGCGAAATAATGTTAATATTCCTTGTGAGCAATAAAGGTTCTTTTTTTTTAAAAAAAAAAAAAAATACGTCAGAAGTAAGATATCTTTTTAATGACGTGGTAGTAGGTACGGCAGTAGGCGTAACAATATATGGCCAAAAAATTAAAAAGACAAATAATAAAATGATGTATCGTTTTAGTTGACAAATGTGAAGTCTGAATGAGGTGGTCATCGCTAGATACTGTAAATTGGTCGCAAATTATTGTCGATTTTTAATGAAATGTTTAAACGTATATATAGCGAAATATCCTTGCCCTCGTGTGCAAATTATAATAGTCTAACAGTTAATCATATCGGGAATCATAGTAATGGATCGATTGGCAAAACTAATACATTTTTTAGTAAGGTACAACTTCATTCTTACATTATTTCGAATTACCAGTTTAGTTTAGCGCTAAAAAAATTGATTTTCATTGCTATGGGAGAAAATCTAATATCATCCGAAGCGTACGTATAAAAGATCAATTACGTATGGGCATAATTTGAATATATTTGGTAAAATTTGTAGAACGTGGCCCTTATATGATCCACTTTTCATTAATTTAGGTTAATTTAAGGGTAGGGTGTACGTAAATCAATTTTCATATGATCTATGTGGTATATTGAATTTTTACATAGTAAACAAAAAAGTGCTTCTAATAAAACTTTTCAATACCTTAACCAATTTATATCAAATTTATATCAAATTTATATAATATGTAGTTTAAAATAGTTTGTTTATAATAATAAAGTTGTACAATACATATTGTTTTAAAAAAAATCAACTTTACATATAACTAAAATTTTATGTTTTTTTCCTGGTTACACAAAGGATTACTAATTATGATTGGTCAAATCACATGTTGTTTACATGTAAATCATATGAAACCATATGATATTGGTTACACGATGCTGGTCTACAATCTATTTTGATGCAGATCTTACTTAGTTAGGGTTAGGATCAATAACGTAACCACTTTCGCGGGTTTCTATCGCGGGTTTCACCTAGGGATGGCAACGGTTGCGGTTATGACCGGTCATAACCGTAACCGATACCGGTCGGTCAGAGACCCTTGACCGACCGGTTAAAAATCTGACCAATAATA